ACACAGCACACCACACACACACACACACACACACACACACACACACACACACACACCACACACACACACACACACACACACACACACACACACACACACACACACACACACACACACACACAACACACACACACACACACACACACACCACACACACACACACAACATGCACACACACACACACACACACACACACAGCACACCACACACATGCACAACACACACAACACACTACACACACACACACACACACACATGAATCACAGGGATGTTAGGAAGTATTTCTTCAGCCACAGAGTAGTCAGTAAGTGGAATAGTTTGGGAAGCGATGTAGTGGAGGCAGGATCCATACATAGCTTTAAGCAGAGGTATGATAAAGCTCACGGCTCAGGGAGAGTGACCTAGTAGCGATCAGTGAAGAGGCGGGGCCAGGAGCTCGGACTCGACCCCCGCAACCTCAACTAGGTGAGTACAACTAGGTGAGTACACACACACACACACACACACACACACACACACACACACACACACACACACACACACACAATGCACACACACACACACACACACACACACACACACACACACACACACATGCACACACACACACACACACATACACACACACACACCACACACACACACATACACACACACACACACACACACACACACACACACACACACACACACACACACACACACACACATACACACACACACACACACACACACACACACACATACACACACATACACACACACACACACACACACACACACACATACACACACACACACACACACACACACACACACACACACACACACACACACACACACACACACACACACACACACACACACACACATTCTATTTATTTTAAGCATTAAAAATACATTAATTTTAAAATTTTAGCTTCATATGAAGGTTAGAGCAAGCGTTTGGCTAGCAATCTTAGAAATATTAATAGCGATATGTTTTGAACTGTTTTGACGCTTGAATGTTATTTACTAGTGCACCTTAGGCCTCCTGCAACATGAAATGAACGTTGAGGTGTCTCAAGCAAACTTCTGAAATCATTTTGCAACGGAGATCCTCAAAATGAATATTTTGTACAAGTCTGCGTAGTAAACCTCAAAGCACCATCCATGAGAGTCACGTAGAGAGCCTGTTTGTTGATCCACTCAGAAAGATTCTTTGTGGTTATCCAATACAGAGACAGCCTGTGGAATTATCCTATGTAGCGAGTACCTATAGGCTTATCCCGTGTAGAGATGATTTATTAGATTATCCAGCATCACAACATTAAAAAGAGAGTTGTTTTCCTTCTTGCATCAACAGGGTGTATTTTCATGCTGAGCCTTTGCTAGTAATTACTGCTGCCGAAATAGAGTGAATATTGAGCAATGTATCTGCACAACAGAATGAATTCTAATATATAATTCATTCTTTCGTAAGCTGAATGATCAGTAGCGAAATTAATGCTGCACGAAAATAGGCATTAATTATTGTTTTTTTTTATATTCCAGCATAGCTAACTTTTACCAAAACTAACAGTGATTACCTTGTGTATAAATCTGCTTAAAGACAAATCACAGCTCGGATTACAAAGGCGCACTGCCGACAGTATTAAAGAATACACAGGTACAGGGTGAACGTTGATTGTGATAGCGTCTTGATGTGAAGAGCGAAATGTTGTAACAATGAAAGCTTCTCTGTGCCCTTGTCTTTTCTTTAAGCTGTAAAGCAGTAGCTCTTTGAGCTTTCGTGTTGTCGATGTTTATACTGTCTCAAAGAGAACAATAGCATTTATCGGTTTTTTCAGTCAAGGTATAGAGTACTTAACGTCAGGTTGCTTTAAACCTAATTGTAAATTGTTTGGAAATCATTTTCCCTTACCAGGACAGGAAAAAATAGGTTCTTCTTGGACACGGTAAAGTCTTGAAAAAGACCTTATCTCTGAAATATATGATAGGCCTGGTTATCAAGACCACAATGGCTGGAAAAACGCTGCATTCCTGACATACAGCATAAAGCCGGTCGTCGGGAGAAAAACTCGCTATATTCTTTTGACCCGCAAGGAGGAAAAACGCTGTATACATTAAAAACAAAACTACTCTGGCGAGACCACTGTATTTACCTCATGTTTTTTTCCTTCCCTCTCTCTCCCTTCATATCCCCCCCCCCCACAACCCCCATCATGCTTCAGAAGTTTGAGACCCGAGTCTCACATGAGAGTAAACATGACTGTCACTGTCATGTTTCAATAAATATTATGTCAAAACATACAACATGTCATTCTAAGGCAGACATTATCATGACATTCCACAGAAGAACAATGTCGTGTTATTTTACATCAAAGAATATCATGTCGTTGTACAGCAGACAACATATTCTATAGTAGAGGATATCATCTCATTATACTTCAGATGTTATATCATGTAACAAAAGGGAATTTCGTGTCATACAACAACGCATTTTGCTGCAGGGAGAATG